GTGCTGGTGAAATTCAATTTAAATGCTTTTCTTGCAAAAAATTGATTTAAATAGCGATATAATCTGACTTCTCTGAAAAATACCTGAGCAGTTCCCTAAATCAGGATGAGCTTAAGATGGTATAAGTAGCATTTTACAACTGGGATCTGTCAGTTAGTCAATCCGATTCTTCACTTTTGATTACTTTCTCTAGTCTTCACAACCAGTTTGGCAAGACGCTTTATGTTGATGGTTTCCTGATCAGTATCTGATTTTCGTTATGGAGTTAACGTGCTTTCTTATCCATCTGACTGTTTAACATATGAAAGATACACTGGCCTCATTATCAGCCTCCTTGGTGCTGCCTACGAGTGATGCAGCTTTTTGCCTGTAGATGGCAAACAGTTGCCACTCATTATGCGGAGGCAAGACTGACGCCTCAAGAAGAAATGATTACTATTGAACCAGTCACCCGCGAACTGATCTTTTGATATGTGTGCTTAAACTCATTCCTTCAATATTGCACTACATCGTACGCTAATCGCATTCATAATTCTACGTGCCATTAGTTGATCTCTCTATTACGAGGCTAAAGTAGTCAGAACGGTAGGTATAACAGTATTGAATAGAGAAGAAATATTTATTTAAATAAGAACGATCTGATGCACATCAGTGGTCAGGTAGAGAAATTTACATCACGCACATAATTGCAAACACAAGAAATCTAAAAATAACCTTGGCGCGCAGGCCTACTCTTATTTGCTAGAAGTGACGTGAAAATGACGCTACTCAAATAACGCAGATATGCAGAGATGGGGGAGTGACATTAATTACCCCGTTAACTTAAATAAGTATATACAGGTATCCAGAGTAACGTAAATCGTTTGATAAATATTTGCAACATTGAAACGACGAGTAAATTGGTGGTACAAATCCAAAAATTCGGAAAAAAAATGTTTAATTTTCTATTTTTATTTTAGGAACTACAAGTGATTCTGTTATTTCAGCATAAATTTATTTCTTAATCCTGGTAACCTCAAGTTGAACTAACCACAGTTGTTTTCTGTCTTTGCTATCCAGCCGATACTTCCATGGTTTTGACTGGTAAATTACGTCTCCACTTATCTTTAGCCACTGACCTATTATTAGAAGACGTTCTTCAAAAATGGGTGAAATAGTGCCCCATGGCGTTGGTCCGACATTGAGAAGGAGATTCCCTCTAAATGCCACTACGCTTATTAGCGTTTCCATTAATTCATAAATTGCATTAACGAAGAAGGAAATTTGGCATTACAGTGTAGAAATTCACAATGAAAAAGAAAGTAAGAAACCCGTGAAATAAAATGATCGAATTTGCAAGTAATCGGAAGGAGAAATAGAGGCCATTGAGATAGCACTAGGTCAATTATGTTGTCTGGATAAGAAATTCACCAAAGTAGTAATTCTTTCGGACTCACAGTCAGCAATAAATTCCAGTGGAAACAGAGAGCCATTCAAAACAGCTGAGATATACGAATGTAAAAACTGTATCAGTTGCTGAGGGAAAAAACAAAACAGTGATCCTCTTTTTGGATAAAATGGTGGATAAAATGATGTCAGCTGAAATACTAGAAAAGCAGTTCACTTAGTGTGCATATGCTAAAGCTACCAACAAATTATGGAGCGGTTTAGAAAAGTGAATTTAAATGATGTGTTATTTTTTATTTATTTATAATGGCGGGCTTAATGTTGATTACCATTAGACCTTTAGCTGATTACAGGCTTCACAGAGGGGAGGAACATCACAGTAGGAAAAATTCGAGAGGGAAACGAAAGAGTGATCCACAGATGTAAATGAGATAGGTATGCACAAAGGCAGAGGAAATGCAAGATGAGAACTGTGGAAGTGGTGGAATATGGCATACAGTCGGGTGGTGGAAGTGTGAAGTCAGAATTCAACTGCCCTTTAATAGACATTTTTGGTCATATGAGTATACTTTGCCCGGGGTGCACCACAAGGTGGCAAATCTATCGCACACCCCGGATGATGTGTTTTTGAATGAAGAAAATGATAAATAAGTGGTGAAAGACAGGCATAAGACTAGTATTGGCGAAATGGCATGTGTAAGTTAATTGGGTTGCGTGAGTGTGTGGGTGGTGGTGGGAGTTGGGGGGGGGGGGGGGGGGGAAGGGGAANGGGGGGGGGGGGGGGGGGGGGGGGGGGGGGGGGGGGGGGGTGGAGAAGAGGAAAAGTGAGTGATAAGGAGGGAAAATGTGAAGTGAGTTGGAGGGTGAAAGCGTTTAAGGAAGGCGGAAAGGCAGAAGGGGGGATTGTAGTTAGAGGTGATTTTGGTGCTGTGGAATAGGTTTGGTGTCGATTAAAGTGGTGTCGAATGTGGTGGTGTGAATGGAGTTGTTAGTGTTGGTGGTGGGTGTGGGTGTGATGGTCTTGAATGTGGAAATTGTGTGTGTGAAATTGGGAGTGGCGGAGAGAAGACTTAAGTGTCTCATTGCAGTAACAGTGCCTGTGATGTCAACATCAGCACGAGTAGAAGGAAGAGGAGTTTGAGGAGCTGAAGAGTTGAGGGTAAAGTGGCTGAGGGTTGGAAAGTGTGGGGTTGTGTGCGTTAGTGTGTGGAATGAGGAAATGGAGGATTTTGTCGGAGAGGAAGCGGAAAGATGTGGAGTCGCGTAAGACAGGGTATTCGATCTGAGTGTGGAAGGAGGTGAGGCTACTTGTGCTGGATTATGTGCATGTTGAAGATGCAATCTCCATTCATGCTCGTTGGTGAAGTCGCGATGACAGTGCATACATTTAAAGTGATGATGAGTTGATTGAAGTGGACATGTAGTTGTGGTGGAGCCACGTGGAGAGTGAATTGGGGATGATGTTGGTGGAGGTGAAGTTGATGAAGTAGTTGAATGTGAAAAGGTAGGAGGATGTTTACGTTTGTTGTGGTTAATGAGGTTAGATGATGCAGTGAATTGTTGACCACACACCTGGCACATGTAGGGCCTCTCACCAGTGTGAAGTCGTTGATGAGTAGTGCATGAGCTCTTGGTTGGGAAGCACTTGCAGCAGTAACGACAGCCAAAAGGCTTCTCTCTTGAGTGCACTCGCAGATGGCGTGCGAGGAGGGATGGTCGTGAGAATTTCCTGTTGCACTGTGGGCAGTGTGTGTGCTTGCGNTCATGGTGTTTTGAAGAGGCGAAATGGGGAGATATGTATCCTCGGAGGTGGAGAGTGATGAGTTGGATGAAGAGATGGATGAAGAGTTGGGTGAAGTGATAGAAGCAAGTAGTAAGGAGATGGAGTTGGAGCTGGAGGTGGAGGTGGGGAGTGTTGGTGAGGTAGGCGTGTGTGTAGATGTGGAGGTGTGGGTTGGGGTAGCTTTAGTGTTGGTGTTGGTGATAGTGGTAATGTTTGTTGTAGTGGTTGTGTTAGTGGTGGTGGAGGTTAGGGATGCATTCTCCTTTGAATCTGAAGCGTGTTGTGTGTTGTGTGGGAATATGGATGATTGTGATGGTGAGGGTAAGGTGAAAGTGGAATTTGAAGAGATCCATGACTGAGGATGGGTTGTGGGAAGATTAGAAGGCAGTCGAGTAGAATTGAGAATATGAAGTGATGTTTGTGTGGGAAGTGATGGTGGAAGAGTAGCAGGATGGGGAGGTGAAGGAGGGAGGGTGAAATCGGTGGAATTGTGAGCAATCTCGTTGCCACTAGTGGGGAGTAAGTGTTGATGAATTTCGAGGAGATGCAATGAATGCAGTGAAGGAAGAGTGGAAAAGGAAGAAGGTGGAGGGAAGGTAGTGGAAGGAACAACAGTAGAAGTGAAAGAAGAAGGAGATTGAGGAGGTGAATGAGGAGAAGACATATGGAACAAAGGAGAAGTAAGAGCATGAGGAGACTTGTTGGTGGTTGCAGGAAGAAATTGTGCTTTTGCATTTGGATGAGCAGGGTTTGGAGAAATTGGAGATGGAGAGCGAGAGGAAGACATGTTTACAGCAAGTGTAACAGTTTCGTTATGACATTAGTATCATTCGTCGAGCTATATATATATGTGACATATGTAGCAGCAATGTAAGTCACTCTCTATTGGCCAGTGTATTTCGTTGCCAAGTGCACTGAATTTGGTCATTCGGGGTCACGGATGAGGTGATGTAGCAAATGTTTCGTTTTTATAAAGGTATCTATTTATGAGGTCACCAAAATTTATGTTAGGGTCATGTCATTGTTGACAAATGGCCCATACATTGGTTTTTTGCTGATGAGGCATAAATTGACGCAATTTGCAATTTATCGATTGTCCTCATTGACTCTTCCAAACTGCCGTAATGCATACTTCTCTCATCTCTCATCCCTCATCTATTCTTTTTCAGTGAGGAGCATTGTATTGCCACCAATTGACCAAATGCTCATTCAACCAATAACATAACCGAATGGTTTTCTTCTCTCTCATGGCGTGTAGCATTACAACTATATTTGTCCTTTTATTACTTATCATCATTACTCTTTTCTCAATTGCACATCCCATCACTCACCTACATATCATTCAGCTTTGGTGCACAATCTGCAACAATTTGTCAGCCGGTAATCTCTTAGAGTCAACATTCGCTTCACGAAAAACGCAACCGCGAGAGTTTATATGTATTTTGCTGAAGAGATTTAATTTAAAAATTTCACAATTATTACTCAAAATATGCGAGTAGATTTATTTCAAATAAGATATATATTTCTAAGTTTGGTGTCCGAAATAGCTTTTATATTTTAGCGATGTATTTTAGAATAAGTGATGAACATTGTATTCGAGAATGCTGTTTCGCCATCAGTGGTGCTAATTTTCATTCAACCAAGAACTCAACCGAAGGTTTATTTACACACTCTTGGCGGGTAAGCAAAACAGCTTTGCCAAATCTATGATCCTCTTAATATCATCATTAACATCATGGCTCTATATCACTTTGCACAATAATGCCATAATCTAATTTCCTTCCAACTGTATACTAGTAACCGCCAATTAAAATTCTTTGTAAACATTTTCTTTATGAAGAGACCATGGCCAAACTAGAGTTAGCATGTGTTCGTATTTAATTGGTATTATGTGAGTTAATATTAATTAAATCTCCTGTTTCTCTCTCAATGGTTTCCATTTTGGACATGAGAAGGAGAATTTGGACTGTATATTAGGCAGATGACACTCAGTTCCAGCATCAAAGAAGATGCCAAAGTCACTATTCATAGATCCTCTTTAAGCTTCTCAAAAATATGAATGAATGTATTCAGTCGACACCAGTCCCTAAAAAGTAGATCAACAATGATTCGAGGAAACGATGTTGGACACATGAGGACGAATATTATCCAAATTAGGAAGAAATTAGAAAGATGGATGAAACTTGTGCCGAAACACCACAGGGTTTTACGCATCCGTTTTAAGTTCCACGTTAGCGAACATTGTCAATTCTTGGCAAAGTATCATTTAATGGCGAATGAGTCAAGAAAGTGGGTGAGAGGGAAAGTGTGTGAATGAAGGAGTGAGAATATTGCAACCTGTAGAAGTGAAAGAGAAATTTATAAAGAAGGACCATGTGCACGTGGTCTTGTTGGTTTGACCAAAGCAGTATTGTAATGACAAAATTTGTTGACAGTGAGCTGTTCTCAATTTGCATTTGAACCGAAAGGCCTTATTGGCTTACCTGATGGCAAAACGTACGTTGTGAAGTGATGAAAATAAGCATGATATATGACCATATGACAGAAGAGCCAAACAAAGACAACTCACTTCTTTTCATAAATCCAATTGTTTCTCATTTTCGATACGAAAGAGTAATTCCATATTGCCACGCCTTTTGCTCTTGAAGGCAATTGTCACAGTTGGAGACTTTAATTCACAATTTTGTTACAAAACCATAGAAATTTATCCAATGTGAAAAATTACAGTACAAATGTTTTAAGTACTCACTATAAAATTTTCAACTAAAATCTCGTAAGCAACCATCTTCCTTGTGAATTCCATGAGACGTTTAGTCGTTGACGCTAGGGTAGTTTGAGCACCAATGAGGAATGATTCGAGGGTGGGCAATTAGATTCGGAATGGAGAAAATGATAATTGTGAAGAAAATTAAGACGGCCATAGATCTAATCAAAGGTAGTAGAAAAACCATTCGGTTGTACTTTTGGTTAAATGACGATTAGCAACACTGCCAAAATCACAATATTCACGAAATAAAAAAAGAAAAATAAAAAGTACTGATTGGGAGCCGT